ACAACATCAAGTGGGATCATTTTGATATTCTAGCTTCTGGTAAAACAGATTATCATTGTAAAATTAAAGATACTTTGCTCATCCAAGAACTTAAGCCGGCTCTTAATGTAAACGTCAGCAGTGAGAAGTTGATACTTTATTAATAAGCTTAGGCTTTTATTGTTTTACTGTTAAGAAACAGATGTTTCTTAATCTCGTTTACAGACCGCTTATTTACATTTCATATATAGTTTTCAAAAATTGTAACGGTCTTTATTCCACTTTTGAAAATGTATGTTGCGTAGCATACGAAACGTCAAGTTATTAAAATGCGTAAGTTTAATATGTTTATCACCGCTATTTATGTTTTATTCCTCGTTAAACTACGATGGCCCAAGAACAAAAGCCTGCGGGGGTAATTACCGATTTTGGGGTAGGATACTTGTATGTGGCCTACATGACGAATTGCGCCAGATCAAGTTGTTTCACTTTCAAATGGCGGATTCGAAAGCGACTAAATACTCTTCAAATGGGGAATTTACGTTTAAAATATCTCGCTTTGTCACTGATTTAAGTGTAAACACGTGAAATTCTCATGAAATTCAAACAGCAGAGTGGTTTTACAACATTTTTGAGTTGATCTCATTTTTTTTTTCCTTCTAAGTCTTCTAATTAAATTTAGTCTGCATAAGCTATTTAAATTTATGCATTACTTTACAATCAAAAAACAATCTGAGAAGAAAATAATTGCGACGGAACAGCTCAATGGTTCTTCTGATGGCTTGACGCAGACTTTTATACTACTCTGTCTTTCAACAACTTGAGTAAGACTTTTGAGGGGAAACCTCCAGCAAATCTAATTTTTTCGAAATGCTTCGAATAAAACAATTGATTTCATCAGACCCAAAAACAAATTTGTAGGTTAAGTGAACTTTAAAGAAAAGAAGGCTGGGGTAAGTGAGTGGCTGACTGACCGAGTGACTTAGTTCCGTTTTAAAACTTCCACCCGTTATGATGCACTTTACAGTTTTAAACAAAAACGAAAGTGAAAAGCATGGGGACGAAAACAGTTGAATTATTAATTACCTTTACCGCAATCCTCACAAGCCAATACTCTATGATCTAGAAAATTACATAAAACTTGGCTTCGACAACCACAGTTTTATTCTCATGTTAAAGGATGCCGCCCGTGTAGAGCGCCTTTTGAGGAACTGTCCCAGCGAGCGAGGTACTCGCTCGAGGTAAAATAGCCAAAACAAGTTCAATTGCAAGGTGTTCTTAATATCTTACTTTCGATTCCTGACCTTTTCGTTCTTCTCTGGATTACACTTCTCAGAAAGTTCTTCTCTGTTATTCACATACAGTATAGCTCCTTTTCAAAATCCTCTTCTCACAATTGCAGATTATATGTATTTTCAAACACTTAGTGAGATGCATATACACTGAATATCTTTCCTTAACAACTTTAGGCTCAAAAGATTGCTAGCACATGTTTCTCACCTTATTTCTGTCACTAACCATATTTTTCACTTATGTTAAACTTAAACCTAAAATCATTCAATACAGCTTTCACTGGCAAGCATATACTAGAAACTATTTACCGGAGAGAAACCTAAGTTTGATCAAATAAACAGATCACGACTCGATTCTCAACTGTTCTATGATACTGTAAACAAGAGGCAGCACCCAAATTGAGATAAATATCCTGAACTAAAAATGGATTGATATATCTAAAGGACACATCAGAACTTTATTTCCTAGAGTTCCACAAGTAATGCATTTACTGGAAGTTGGAAAATCAACTAGAGCATATTCATAAGTATAGATTTCAGAACTGAGTCATGATGCCCCAAAATGGACGGGGCAAAATGCGTCAAATCCATTATCAGTAATTATAGATCACGTAGAGAATCACGCAACTTCATACACACTTTTTAAATCTTGAACCCTTTTTGTTGTATTTTACCTTTTAAACAAAAAAAAGGTGAGAAGAAGGGAAAGGAAAACAATTCAAAATCTTTCGAAAGCCAGTACTCTATGATAAGAACACTCTACAAAACCTGGTTTCGACAACAAGCTTATTCTCACTATTATTTTCGTATTTGTATATATTTGACTATTACTGTAATTCCACAAAAATGGAAACTATCTCTAACTAAATTTGACTGTAAAGCTAGTGCTTATGAAATCCCAAAAGAAAACCTTGAATTGCTTGTATCAAATACTAATTCCGAATAGATGCCTTTCAATATATTAAAAAAAAGAATTTTCTTCTGCTTGTTGTCGTCTTGGCTTTTCGTCAAGCCTTTACTTGGCCTGCCTTGGCAGCCCAGAATGAGCTTCTGCATGCTCATACAGCTTAACATTGTCGTAATCCTTGTCATGCCATGTTATCTCAATTCGGTGATCCACAAAGTGATAGTCTGGCATCTGGACGACCTTCTTGGCTCTACATGCAAAGAGGCAAATGAACTCGAATTAGTGACACTAAGTCGGGTGCATCAGCATATAACAATTACAATACTGTTTTAAAAGAGAAAACTGCTAACACTGATCGTTACCAGCTTCCGAGATTGACTATCCTGATTAAAAAAAAATCCTTCCTAGGTAAGGTTGTTCGCTGGGTAACTAACTGGATCTTGCCTTTGGGGTTCAGATAGTTTTGGAGTCGTGTTGAACTACAATCCCCACGTAAAGCATCTGTAATCTAGAGGTCGGAGGCAAGATCACTAATTCCACTGTAACAATAACCACTAAAACTTAGTCATGTCTTCGTGAACCTATTCTTGTCTCCTTATTGTGAGTCATCAATATCTTAAACGCATAATAAAAAAGAAAAACTTACTTGTAAGTAGTTTTGAAGTCACATCGGTAATGGCCACCTCCTTCAAGCAACAGAGCCATGTTAACATCACCCTTCAGCACTCCATCACGCACATACATTTTCTCAGTGGATGGCTCCCATTTTACGGTCTTCTTCTGCATAACTGGACTATTGGCAGGAAAGTTCACCCCATCAAATCGGATTTCATAGAGAAAACAGTCACGGTTGTTGACGTCTTTCTTCATTCTAATAAAAAAGAAGCAAAACATAGTCAGTGTTACCATGCATGCAAAGATAAAAGGAACACTTGTCATTTAAAGGCATAGTTGGTAATATAATTTCATAGATGATATCAGATGAAACCAGTGGCGATGTTTCCCTTTTATTATACACAGAGAGAATCATTTTGGAAAAATACCCTAAAGTGCATATAACCCCACAATATATCTTTAGCGAGGTTAAACTTTGTATTGTATGTAGCAAAATGCCGCAACCAGTTGTGTTGTTGGTTAAAACCGCGACTTTTTTTTTTTAATATATTAAGTCGGGATTATTTAGCACACAACCGAGGGCAACGGAGAGTAGGGCTAGTGACGTCAGTTTTGAACTGAAGGGAAAAGGAGTAGATATTGAAGAATAGTAACGAATTTCCGTAGTATGCCTATGAAATGACCTTTTCTTGGCGACCTTAAACATATAAGTTGTTTAGATGTATTGCACGTTCATCGTCCAAACTTCTTCAGACTCTAAACTCTGGAAGACTGTTTCCACGAGTTAGCAAGCACCAGCTGATGTAGCGTGCTCATTCCACACGGAATGCAAAGCTGAACTAAATAAACCGCAATCGCTTCGCAGATTTGTAGAAAGAATTTCAGAATACTCTGACTTGGGATAACTATTTGCATGGCAATTCTCCGACGAAAGTATCACGTATTAACTTTTTGTGGTGGCTATTCGTTCAGATCATTAAACCATACACAAGCGCGAAGTGCCCCGAATCATTCACGTAGTACGTGTAAACAGACTGAGAAGATTTGAAACTCTGACACAGATCAGCTGCAGTCACCAGAATCACTTAATACATTCAAACAAAAATAACACTTTGAGTCGAGAAGATAAATTACCTTGAATTCCAGCAAAATTATGTGACCCGAAAGAACCAAAGCTCTTGTAATTTTAATTTCATCTTTACTCACTCGTTCTTCGCTGCAAGCCTCGCTATTCGAAATCTTCCCAAATCTTGTTCGCTGAGTGGCTTAATGTACACTGCCAAAAACTTGATCGGCTTTTGCAGTTTTTTACGCATTTTCTTTCTCAGAATAATGTTACAACAACTCGAGGCGAGCAAGTTTATGTGTGCGAACAGTGTTGCGCGAATGATCTCCTTGCGGGACGTCACGAAATGCGCTAGACCCAGATCCTTTTAACTGGTTCTTCGACTCGGTAATGGTTTTCATTATAGCGGTCACGACTTTGAAAATTCATAAAAAAAGAAATCACGTTTTGAACCAAAGGCAGAAATATTTTCGGTATTATGATAAAAAATGTCTCAATATTGTTTTGGACTAAAATAAATTTGGGGTTGTAGGCTCTAAGCTTTACGCTTGTGCAGGCAAGGAAGCAAGAAAGAAATAAGAAGGTTAAAACTGTACCGAAAGAAAAAGGAGGGGCACAAGAGATTAAGAAGGGGCACAAATTTTAAATGACTTGAATGGAACTAGAAAGTTCCTATAATTCTTCAAGGCGAGAGGCATCAGCTTTACATCTTACTTACTTTATGTCGTTTGTGGCGATGCAAATGCCCCCGTCTTCATAAGTCATGYTKCGTTCCCAGGAATACCCCTCAGGAAACGACTGCTTGAAATAGTCTGGGATGTCTTTTGGGTATTTGGCGAATACCCTGTTGCCGTAATCGAATACTGTTGTCAAGATATCGAAAGCGAAAGGCAGAGGTCCGCCGTCTATGACTGTCAGGTCCATAGTCTGTTTTCCCCTAAAACACAAACAAGAAACCAAAGACGTAAGAAAACGTACTGTTCATATGCAATGCAGAACTTATATTTTTTTTCTTGAGTCCTTCGCAAACATTAAGATATCGAGAGGTCCGCAAGGCGTCGCACTAGTTTGCTGCAGAGATAAGTATACCACAATGAAAAAAAATCGTTTGGGATAAATGGCCACAAATGTAATGGGTTTAATTGAAACTAAGGTTACAAACAAAGATCTAACAAAGGTTGTAAAAAATTCGACAATCCCTGGCATTTTATTTCATAATTCTTGGTATAGTTTGATAGCCAGTACTGTGTGCTTTAATTGGAAATAGTGGCTTGGGTATCTACAGTTTAAACCGGACGCACAACATCGCTTGGACGTAAGACACCTCTAAAGGTATGCGGTAACCTTAGGGGTCGTAAAATCGAAGGAGAGATAGATCAGACTCTGTATCTGCTACGATATCCTGAATGAAATACGGCTTTAGAAGTATTCTCGGTATATTACATCTTGTTCCATGCAAAATAAAATATATATATATATATGAAAAAAAAAAAAAGACTAAGCAATGTTCGAAGCAAAGATGCCGTAAAACTGACCAAAATAAATAAACATTTCAAGACTTTTACTTACTCGAAAGGCTGGCCTCTTCCTTCCCCTGTAATGACGAACTTGTGCCCGTTTACAGCGCCTTCCATGCGCAGCTTGATCTTCATTTCTGGTTTGATCACACTCTGTGGAATGAAATAGGGATAAATCTGAGATCACTCACTAATTCAGAGTAAGCAGTAGAGTAAATTCATCAGTCAAAAACGAAACAAAACGTTTTCTCGTGCAACACTTACCATGATCGTAGACGCAAGATTTTAGTTCAATACAGCACTTGTTCTCGGATCTGCTCTCTTTCAAATCACCAGGGTGAATGGGACTTCAGCGCTCAGGATGCTTCTTTAAACCTGAAAGTCACACCCAAAATTGAACTAATTATAAGCCAGGAATCCTAATGTAACAAACAGCAACCCATTGTAACAAACAGCAACCCTTTGATGTCTATCGTACCAAGTCACACGTTTTCGTTGTTCACATGAAATCACCTTGGGGTATCCACTAACACTGTGAAATGAAGCAAACATTAATGGAATTATTTTAAAGAAGGACTTTTTCATAAGGAATTACATAATTCATCATGTCATCAAGTAAAGATACTATTATCTTGATTTTCATTTCCGTTAGCATTAGGGTTAACCTTCACTGCTTCGGTTAACAAAGACTTGATATATGACATCAAAAGCGCAGTCATTTTCACGACTATATATAAGAGCTTATTAGATTTGCCTGTTTCCCCGACCTAATCAGTCATTCAACCAATTTAATTTGGCTGAGTAGATTTAAATCAAACTGGGCATCGCATCCTGGTTTTTTATCAATCAGTCTAATAAGTATTTTTTTTTTTTTTTGTTACACGAAGAGTTGAAAATGGAGCAGAGATACATCCTTTCTTATAAGTTATTGTATTTAATAACTTATGTAATACTCTACAATAACTTATACAATTGATATCCTTCGTTTCGTTAGCGTTAACCTTCATATTAAGAAAGAGTAACACTAGAAAGTTTATCGAGTAACCTTGAGTACAACCAGTGAACGCACCAAGTATTTCTGACATTTCTGTAATGTCCTTGCCTCGATTCTCCTGAAAAGTCAACGCGTGTCCAAGTACTTTTAAAATGGTCAGCTCTTAGGATGTCAGCTAAATATTTTTGGCAAGTGTAATCGTGTGAGCGTTTCATTACGTAATACTGTAGAACGGTTTTCAATTGAGTGCGAACGTAATCAGACACTTACTTTGGTTTTGGTTTTGGTTTTACTGTGGTTTGAGATGAGCTGAGCAGTCTTATTAGTAAGTAATTGGTTTTGGTTTTCCGACACTCACTTGAAAACCGTTCCATCGTGAGAGAGGAGAAAGTCAATCGCCCAGCTAAACATCTGGCTTATAGTTTAGATATAAATTAGCCACGAGGTCGCCTTACCATCTCTTATTAGGTAACCTTTTCTAAACTTTAAAGATGATTTCCGCAGAACATTCGAGTAATAATGGCAAAAATAAAGCAACCAAGAAAACCTCATAGCATGCTAATATTTTGAATAAAGTTAAGAAGATCTTATCGAGAATTAAGCTCTCAAGCTGACCCCGCGAGAGAAAATTAAACTTGAAGTTATCAATATTTCAATAAAAACGGACGTTTCGCGTTAGTTGAAAACGCAATAACACACGCATTAAGCATTCTTACGAGGTTTGACATTTAATTTCTAGAGAATGCTTGGGGATTTAATTGCGGGGTCACCTAGAGAAATGAATTACAGTGAGATGTTTTAAATAGTATTTCAAAAACATACCGTGCTGTGAGTAGATTGTTAGTAAATAATTTTTGCACTTATTGCTTGAACTTTGAGCGGAATCCGTCTTAATTTTTGTATCTTTTATCATTGTGACTTTTGAATTAAATTTTCATCAAATTAATACAGTTAGTAATGCTATTATTACGATCATTCTAAGAGAGACTCGCACCATGGCCCCCAAAATGCGGTTACTTATACGACCAAACTGCTTTGCACATGGCTGGTTAAAATTGTAGTAAGTTTATCGTGTAGCCCAGAGGAAAAAAGATAATTTCATGATCTTACAGTGCAAACAGTGAACACTAAAAGTATTTCTGCAATGTTGATTAAACGCAGCTCTAGCTATTCGAAATATCGCCTGGAGGGGTACATGTAGGTCTATAGTGAAACTATTTATCAACAAAATTACTCTAAGCTCGTTAGCTTTCACATCCGTTTTCAAGAGGAAAAATTCTGTTTCGTTCTTTGACGAAGCTGTTCGTGGGAGAATCTGAACTACTTCGTTAGGGCGGAAGTGAACACGAAGGGGTGATTCCTCTAATATGTGATTATAGCAGTTTAAAGTGTAGTAAATTGCAGTGTCGACTGATAAATGGGGTCTCTTAGCTATTTTTCTGCACTTGAGCATGAGATTATTTTCATCACGCATATGCCTCAACGAAGAGTTATTTCATCTTCTTTGATAACACGTATTGTCGTTAATCCAGGACCATCCGGATTAATTTCAAGTGCTGCAAGTATGATCATTTCCGTTTTGAAAATGAATTTACTGATCACATGCAAACGCCTCCTCTTATGTTTCATACTGTGAATGAAAATGACCAGAATAAAGTCATATCTTTGTAATAAAGCCGTTGACAAATTAGGAAGTTGACATTTCGACGACAACACACTAAGCAATGCTTGAGCAGGTAGCACATTGACGTATTCAACTGTTACATCTCACCACAGGGGACACATACAAGCGGCGTGGCTATTTGTATGCTCACATAAGTTATGAAGGGCTTGTGTTGTGCTAATTCGTAATGATGAAAAAGTAGCTTCTTCTAAGAAACGTACGCAATTCAAGACCAGAGGGCAAAAACCATACACTATTTATAACCAAAATGGCCTTAATTGATACCCTATTTATGACCAAAACGGCTCAAAAACCCTACCCTTTAGGACCGCACATACCTATACAGCCTATAAAAAGGGAATACCGCGCCCCCCTCCCCCCCGCTTCGCGGGCGCAAAACCCACCAAATTGCTCATATACACAATAAGACAATAATTCCCAATTTTGTCAACGCCTTGATTCACAAAAATATGATTCATTTCGATTAACATTATCAAAGTGGAGGCATTTCGTTTGTCAACAGTAAATTCATTCTCAGAACAGAACTGATCATCATGTTGAACTGGTTCAATAAGATCCTCGGCAAACGGCGTGTGGGAAGGATAATAACAATCTTACGAAACTTGATTTCTGTTTATTATTTGTTTACCATTATCTGCATTATCACAAGGTAAATCAGACGAATCTTGACTGGGTTGAATTTCCTACAAAAGTAAATTCCAACTTAAGAATAGAATATCAAGTTTGTGGTATTCTGTTATGATGTTCCTTCGCATTTTCTGTCCTGTTAACGCTTTTAAAAGATATTAGATTAATAAAAGGACATGTAGTTTTAAAGAAAAGTGTGATATACTGCGGCTTGCAGCAGTTGTCATCACTGACACGTGCTGTGATTCGTAATGGTTTCGTGGAGACCATCGGAGCATAAGCGTTGTGTCACCGTTTTCGTTAACCACAATATTAGAAGTGTTTCTATATAAATATTATTTTAGCGATTACAGCGTCACAAAACAAAATTGCCAAATTTGAGCAGAAAAAAGCAACTTGTTACATGGTGCGGTATTATAAGTGCAGTACAGTGCAGTGCTTCTTGAAACGTGTCCAATTGAATTTTTTAAGCTACAGTTAAATCAAGAAATTTAACAGCGCGAGATGCAAGTGGTGTGCAAGTGGTACCTCGAAGGAAAATCGCCATTTCATGTCTAGGTATTCCGATTGATAACTGAATCCCGAAATTGTGCGTTACAAATTACAGGACATACGCGAATAACCCTTACGATTTTTACTGCCGGGACGGCTGCTCTTAGTCAATCCACTGAGGTTTTCATTACTCCTCTAAAAATGTATTACTCAGTTGTTTGTGCAGTTTGAATAAGGGGGACTCCTGTCACCATTCTTAAACTGAACACCTATCTATCGACTCAGTGTAACAGTCACAGGTGGTATTAAAAGGTCAAAAAGGCAATCATTTTCACGCTTAAAACTAAAACTAGCCGATAACTAAGACTCTATCATGCGAACTAGAATTTGGAGTTTAGACACACAAGAATACCTAGCGCTAATTCAATTGAATAGCTCTGAAAACCCTTACTGAAGAGTATACTTCAAATACGTACAAAACAATTCAAGTTCAGCTAATTAAATTCTGGTTATCAAAAATCGATGCTACTAAAACCTTCTTCTGTCGCTTTTAATTGAGGGAGAAGAAAAAGGCTGCTACTTGTATCCTTAACTTTTGCACCGAGCATTCTTGATTTTTGTGTTTGATTTTGGCTGCGATTGTCATGTTGATAGATAATACTTTCGAACGGAGGACGTCTGCAAGAGAAAGCTTAACTCAGACAACTCATGATATCTATACTTTGACTTTCATACGTGCTCAACGCTTCGACGGTTAGTGGCTGATCGGGTCAGATCGATAGACCAGGGATCTAATGAGTAGCTGATGTCGACTATACTAAAAGATCTCTTTAAAACACAAGCTTTCGAATACCCAAAAGACAGTCTTCAAAGGATCAAATGATAAAAGAAGTGATAAAAAGTCTCAGGTACAGTGTGATAAAAAGACTACAATAGTATATGGAGATACACTTCAAAATTTTTGGTAAAAAGAATACTGTATTGTGTTGGGAGTGGACAAGAGACCCTCGCACTGGGGGTCGTCATGGTGTGCCAAGATTCATAACACTTTCTAATGTGATAATTACCTTTGAATGATAACAATTTTTAAATTCAAGGACATGGTCATGAGACCATGCATGATTTACAATCCTGGATCCTTTGGTCATTGTTTAAACGTTGTTTTTATGCTATTTATGGGTGAAGCGAATGAAGAAGTAGTGGTTCCTCTCATATCTGGTCATAACAGTTTGATAGTGCAGTAAACTACAGTGTCGATTGATCAGTAGTGTCTGTGACTAGAGCTGGTTTTTTACACTTAAGGTTGTTATCATCACTCATATGCCTAACTAAGAGGTAGATCATCCTTCAGGACGGAAATGATCATCAATACTTGTTAGCGGCACTTGAAATTAATCCGGATGGTGCTGGATTAACGACATTATGTGTTATCAACAAAGATGTTTACAAAGTATTACGTAATCGGCCGCTGACACGATTACACTTGCCAAAAATAATTAGTTGACATACCAAGAGCTGATGACAATTTTACAAGTACCTGGT